AGATTACTAAGAATACGGAAATAAATGTTAGAAACCAAGATTTAGTTTATATAACTTGATTAAAATTGATGTATATGTTACGATGCCTTCGTATGAAGGAGGATTTGACGAAATCTTGAGAAATATTGATGTGTCTAATTCGGTCATCATTATGTTTAATCACTAATACATCATTACGATCGTTATTCTTGAGATATTAGATTCTATATTCGTGTTGTAGATCATCCTTGAGATTTGTTTAAAACACTTGAATAATAAGGTTCTTGAGGGTTTATTGAACTATTGTTGGCTTGAAAGTTGTGATTGAGGTTCATTTGGAATATTCGTTTAACCACTCTCCTTAACGTTATTTATGCTTCCTACCTTGTTTGTCATTGATATACATATGCTTGGTAAGGACGAGTGTAAAGTACGAAGGGTGATGCCGTGCCATTTTATATATTTTATCATGTGAAGAAAAGTGTAAAGCGCGAAGGGTGATGCCGTGCCATTTCATTTGAGAGTAAAAGCACGAAGGGTGATGCCGTGCCATTGCATTTGAGAGTAAAAGCACGAAGGGTGATGCTGTGCGTTATTTATATTATCCTGATCTCATTTACATTATCATGTGGGGATGAGAGTAAAAACACGAAGGGTGATGCCGTGCCATTTTATTATATTATCATGTTTTTATATTATCGGGAGTTCATGGCACGAAGGGTGTTTCCGTGTAGGTGAGAAAGAGGGACATGAATTATGTTGTGATATCTTTTCCTTGTGTATACGTTGATGCCTTTACCTTGAGCTACTACTGTCGTACCTATGTTTCCTATGTGACTTGTCGTTATTATTCTGTCTTTGTTCTCTATCTCAATTGTTGCTGTGTTGCACATGCCTTCTACTTGTTTAACTTGCAATTATCAGGCCTACTTCCTGCTGTTATATCTACATCCATGCCGTATGTAGTTTGTTTCACTTTAGTATAAGCTTTCTACCATGTTAGCCATTCATGCCTCTATTTGTTAGCTTATAAAGATAATGTTTTCCCCTCTTATTTGTTATATCTACGTCTATGCCTTCTACTCTGCTAGTTAGACGAAATTATGTTCTTCTTTCCTAGTTGATGTCATCATTTCTATATTTTCTACCTTGTCATTACTGTTATCGGCATTCCTTTCATTTGGTTGGTACTGTTACACGTATATTTGGTGAGGATGGGATAAATGCACGAAGGGTGTTACCGTGCCATTCGATTTAATGTCTTGAGTATATTTCTCGCACTATGAAAGTTATGAATTTATTACTGAGATTTGCTGGTTATCGCTCTAAGGAAAGGATTGGTCGTGATGTTGAGGAGTACTAATCGTGATTCTTCTAGAATTCATTTACTGCTTCGCATAATTGTTCCTCGTACTCTATTATGTTATGTTCTAGTATTGTTCTATTGCTAGTCTTCTGTACAGGTTATATCAGTGAGTATCTTTTAACTAAAAAAAGTCTCGTCACTATTTCACCGAGGTTAGACAAGATACTTACTAAGTACATGGGGTCGGTTGTACTCATACTACACTTCTGCACCTAGCGTGCAGATTTTGGAGCGGAGCTGCGGTGGATGTTGGAGGCTGACTTGAAGATATTTGTTCCTTACGGATGTGGCTACCACTTGTCCCTAGGTAGTTCTAGAGTTGAATTCTGTTTATGTACATTTCAAATAGAAGTTGTATTTATTTCATAACCGTTTTTACAATAATTCAGTCTTAGTAGCTCATGTCTTGTTCTACCGGTCCTTGGAATTTTGTATGGAATCCAGTCATATCACTTGTTGATCACTTTTATTTTTCTTAGAATTATATAACTGTTGATTGGCTGACCTAGTGGGTCGGGTTAGGTGCCATCACGACTAGTGAATTTTGGATCGTGACAATTATAATTTCTGGTGTCTGTTAAAAATGATAATATCCCGAAGAATTTTTTTATCAAGGTCAAAATCTTAAATGCCTCATAAAGTGTCCCCTATGTCTCATATTTGTTTTGAAATATATCAAATGATAATCCACTTTATGAGTAAAGTCAAGATAAACATACCTTGGATTATAGTACGCAATGTTTACTGAACCTTTGAAGGGAACCTTTATTGACAAATCATTTTCTGAGTTCTTCTATTCCAGATTTTCCCCACGAAAATTTCTCAATTAGAGTGAGCTTATATTATTGAAAAAGTAATCCGTAGTCGTGAAATACACAGTTGATTTACCCACACGAACCCCTATTTAATTTCAATCCTTGTTTGCCTGTCGCAACTTTTGTTGGACCAGTTGATTAACATTTGGCCGAGCGTTCATTAAAATATTTGGTAGATTTCACAAATGGCCATATAATTATGACTTTTTTTCACCAAAGTCATATAACTTTATTTTCTCACACAAAAATTATATAATTATGACTTTTTTCACCGAAGTCATATAACTATGTTTTCTCATACAAAAATTATAAAATTTTTACTAACTCACAAAAAACTCATAGTGATCGGAAAATATAATTTTTCAGTAGTATGTTCTTATTTTGTGATTTTTGTTTTTTATTTTCATTCTAATAAATAATAATCCGATTAAAATAGGGATGGCTCAACCCGACCTGGCCCACCCGACCCAATACTCATATATAAAAATTAAAATATTACTAAAAGTGAATAGTAAATCCTTCAAAATATGATAATTCTATCTTTTATTTTCTTTTCAAGATTTTTATTCAAATTGATAGCATTTTTATTTCAAGTGCTCCCTAATTATACCTTCTTTTTTGTTCTGTTAGAATCTCATGCATTCCGAACTAAGTTTTTTATGGGGGAAGAATTCACTTTTCGTATTATTTTAACTTGCGTATATGGTTATTGGGTCAGGCTGGGTTNTATCGGCTATTATTTTTGGGAGGGCTAAAAATATACTCATATTTCTCCTATTTTAACTGGGTAATTATTTATTAGACTGAAAATAAAATAAAAAAAATATAAAATAAGAAAATACCATAGAATATGTTTTCCCACCGCTATGATTTTTATGTGACTTAGTGAAAGTTTGATGATTTTTGTATGAGAAAACAAAGTTATATGACTTTGGTGAAAAAAAGTCATAGTTAAAAAAAAGTCATAGTTATATGACCATGTGTGAAATTTACCCTTAAAATATTATAACAACTTTGACACCAATAAATCCAAAGTATAAGTGACTAGATAGAATCCCAACGTCAAGACATCCGATACATGTCAATAAAATACAATACAGAATAAACGCATCTAAGACATAATATCTTGTAAATAATTCCGAGTAAATCTTTGGATTGACATGTAATTATTTTGATGAAAATAAAATAAAGTGTAATATCTAGTTGTTACCAAACAGAGTAAATACAAATTATTTGTAACTATATTTTGGAATAATTTCAAATGAGATTACAGAATAAGAATAGATGAAATCTAATAATGGTTTCAAATTCCCAAAAAAAAAAATTTTAAAAATACTTTTCTTTTTTTCCTTCTTCGAAGTCTAATCCATATTCGTTATTGGTTCTTATGTGATTTTGACATGCATTCTTGATAATATCGTATTCTTATAGTACTGTCAAACAATTAGTTGTCGTTTAATGTTCTTCGCCATTAAATTCTATATATGATAGAGGTACTAGTGTACCCATCCTTTCAAAATCCGCTATCAGTCCTAATTACAACAAGTAGTTATTTCATGATGGTTTTTTTTGTATGTCAATGAATAAGTTAATCCAAATGTGCGTTGTTTATAAGTATTATCTTTCAAGTGAAAACGAAAAATTAAATCTTATCATTCTATTAATTCTCTTTATAAATTTTACGATGACTTATATAATTGCACATATGTTAAGAGGTAGTGGTGCATCCTCTCAAAATTACATACACTTTTCTTTTTGGTACTTCAAGAGTTCCAGATATTTCTTGAGGTATTGGACTGCTTTCATGAAAAACTTTTGGGGTCGTTTGTTACATGAGATAAGAATAATAAACCGGGATAAAGTTTTGTGATTAAATTTATCTCACGTATGATATGGGGTATTAGTTAATCCCGAAATAACTTTTACACTAAAATGATGAGATTATTTATCTCATATAGAAGGTGAGATAACTAATCCCATAGAATATTCCACTATTGCGCCAAACGACCCCTTAGCGTGAAAATAGACTTTTTCAAAAAGAAAAAAAAAACAAAAAATAAGATTACAATGTAATCAATGTAATCTCACTCCTATTTGTTGAATCTCTGAGGAAAGAAACAACAAAAAGAAGAATTGACCTTTTTGAATTCAAGCTAATCTGCATTTAATTGAGAAGTCTTTAGAGAAATATAAATACCCATTCTTGCTTTTGCATTTTCTACACCTCTTTAGTGAAATCAAGCTTTGAAAAGGTTAGGGGTAAATTATCCTTTTTTCTTCCTCTTCCTTTATGTTTTTGGGTACGATTTTTTGGTAGTTGGGTTCTAAGAATTTAATATTTATTTGATTTTTTTTGCTTATTGACATGAAACATGGCAACATGAACATTCAATCATGTGATATTATTTCTAAAGTGTGGCAAGTCTTATTCTACTCCCGTATAAAAAGGATTGACACTATTTCTTTATTAATATGTTTAAAATAGATTGATACATTTCAATATCTTCTCAATAGGAAGTATTCATAGCCACACATATGTTATGACGGGTTTCAGACCATAAGTTTTAAAAGTTTTACAGTCACACAAATGATATAACTTATTTAAGACCACATATCTCAAAAGTCTTTCTTTCTTTATTAAAGTTTGTGACAAGTTAAACTAAGACAATCTTTTTAAATGGACAGAGTAACTCTTTTTACCCATTTTGACTTCATTCTTAAACGATCCAATCAAATATAATTTTCTACATCTTTAATAATTTCTTTTGATTCTTTTAATTCAATACTTCAATGCTAATTTAATCTCTCTTTGTGGTTGCAATAAAGTCTCAATAAAAGAAATGGCATCAATGACGAAGGGATTGTTGCAGAGTCGTGAATTGCACAAGGTACTCATTGTTCTTCTGCGCATTTTTCATCTATTTCCTTTCTTTTGTTAATTTATTAGTTATTACTAAATATATCATCCATTTTTCTGTAATGATGTTAAGTATCTTCTGGAGACTACTGTGTATCCACGTGAACCAGAGCTTCTCAAAGAGATAAGGGCTATAACTGCAAATCATCCACGGTACTTTGCCTTTCCCTTTACATTCTTCTACTTTTTAATTTTCGTTGTAATCCTATGAGTGGGGTATGAGAAGGGTAGTGTGTTCCCAGACCTTAGCCCTATTTATACGCAGAGAGGTTGTTTCCGGTAAATCCTCGACTCATGAAGGATAAAAGGAAAAAACAACAACAAACAAACCAATTAGAAAATTGTAACGCAAAACACAAGACTAACACCAGGTTAGTTCAACCAGAAACCAAAGTGAAAGAAACAACAAGTAATAACAAAAATCCAAAGAATAAGAAAACGCAAGACTAACACTGAGTCATGCACTAGAGCTACTGGAACGCGCAAGGACAACACTTAGTTACCTAATCCTTTGCCTTAATTTAATTTGTTGACGTGATTAAAGAACTATGATTGGCTCAAGCAGCAAATTAATCAGATTTAACCTATCATCCTTTAAAAACATGTATTGAGCATAAATGGCTAAAGGACTATTATTTTTTCAAGTAATGTGTTTAATTAAGAACTTATCAATTTTAATTTTGTTTATGCATCAGGTTCAATATGGCAACTGCACCAGAAGCTGGCCAATTGATGGCCCTGCTTTTGAAAGTGGGAAACGCTAAGAAGACTATTGAAATTGGAGTTTTCACTGGATACTCTTTGCTGCTTACTGCGCTTACAATTCCTGATGATGGAAAGGCTAGTATCATTGATTATTTTTTTATTTTATTTTTTTAAGGCAAGCTAGTATATTGTTAAACATTGGGTTATAGGACTGAATCTAAGTTGTTCCGACACGAAAATTTAGGTATCGTACCCATATCGATACGATACTATATGGGTGTGGGTATGGGATACGTACCAGATCTGATTAAAACAATATGAGTACTTTGACCTAGACTGACGGAAAATTCGAGACGAGATACAATTTGATTCTCGAAATCAGAACCAAAACTAGGGTAAATTTGAAGAAAATAGCATATATGAAATCAATTTTTTTCTTATCTACAACTTGAGAATAAAAAAGAAATCCACACTTTACAAGCTATAGGTGAATATTCCACAAAATTTCTCATAATTTAAAAATATTTTTATATTTTAATTTTTGTAATTATTATTTTAGTCGGATTCATACCCATCTCCGTACTAGGACCGAATCTTAAAATTTACATCTTGAAGGATCCGACCTCTAGATCTATACCTGTGTCGGACACCCACACCCATGTCCGAGCAACTTAGGAGTAAATATCTTCACAAACGCGTTATGCATATAACATATAAATTCTTAAGGGATGTTTGGGTGCAGATTACAGCTATAGACTTGAATCGGGATGCATACGAAATGGGATTGCCAGTTATCAAAAAGGCTGGAGTTGAGCACAAAATCAATTTCATACAGTCGCAGGCTTTATCAGCCCTTGATGAACTCTTGGAAGATGTAAGAAAAATAAACCTTAAATTCTTTTGGCATTGCAAGTTGTTAGTTAGTTCTTAGGAGTTGTTTGGCCATTAATTTTATTCACCTTTTTAATTCAGAAGAATTTTACTTATTTTCAAAATTAATGTTTGGTCATAAAATTTTTCAAATCCAACTTGGAGTTGGATTTCAATGTATAACCAAACGTAACTCCATCTTTAACCCCAGCTTCAAATATTTCAAATAAAGTGAAAAATATTTGGAATTTATAGCCAAACGCCTAGTTTTCTCACATCCCATCATATTTCAGCAGGTTAAGTACTAAACAAAGTATAAGAAAACTAAATACTGTAAACCTTCTTCTATAAGGGTGGAATGGTAAATCCCCCCAACTTGTGTGCACCTCAATTATTTCATTGAATTCAGGATTTGAATTTGATAGAATTCGGCCTTTAAAATTTTAAACGCTGATTGAAAATTTTAAAATTATGCATTCGGAATATAATATTTGTTATTCCATCTGTTCTAGTTAATGTGAATATATTTTATTTTTAGTTTATTTAAGAAAGAATAACTCTTCTCTAGATGTCGAAGTAATTTAAATTAAACTTCTCATCTTATGCTTAATGAGAAGCTTTTAGAGCCATAAATACTATATCATGTTTAATACCATAAATTTTAAGGGATTATATCCACACAAAGTTAGGGTTTATCGAAGACAGACAAATTTCAAAAAAAAAATCTTTATTTATTTTTCAAACTCCATGATCAATAAAAAAGGTTGGTATAAATTCGAAGAAAATAGTATTTTAGTAATTTATCACTTACACACACATACAATAACAAACTTAGTATAATTTCATGAGTAGAATCTGGGGAGGGTAGTGTGTACGCGGACCTTACCCCTACCTTGAGGGTAGAGATGTGACACACACACACATATATATATATATATATATATATATATATAGAAATGCCGAGTTTAGTTGAACCGGCACGGGCTTCTTCTCACAAGCACAAGTAGCGAATAACTTATAGACTCTTGTGGTCCGATTTTTTTTCGGACCCCGGACATAGCAGGAGTTTAGTGCAACTAGCTGACCTAATTTTCATGTGTCATTTAAAATATATTCTGTTATTTGCAGCAAAGCAACAGAGGAAGTTTCGACTTTGCTTTTGTCGATGCAGACAAATGTAGTTATCAAAAGTACCATGAGAGACTGTTGAAGCTAGTGAAGGTTGGTGGCATAATAGTGTATGATAATACACTCTGGTTTGGAACAGTTGCTATGGCAGAGGAGTCTGTTCCAGAAGCTCGAAAACCAGACAGGCATCACATTATCGAACTTAACAAGTTTTTAGCTGCTGATTCTCGCATTCAAATTTCTCAAGTTCCTTTGGGTGATGGAATTACCATTTGTAGGGTACTGTGAAGTTTATGTCATATGAAGTTAATGGCGATTGATGAGAAGATAATCTATTAGGGAGATTTTCCTTCTTTGTTTTCTCTTGGAACTATTAGTAGCTAAAAAGGTCTATCCTCGATAAGAATTGATGAAAATACTTTCTTTGCTAGCTGTCGCTGCACTTTTTTTCTTAATTTTGGTTTCCCGCCCAGTGTCCAGTATTCACATTGGGACTTGATTAAATCCGGATTCGCGCCGAAATATTCCACATTGAGGGGTAAAACACATTCTAACAAAGGAGACTTCATACTCAAGACTCGAACCCGAGACCTATAGTTAAGGATGAATGAGTAACAAACTTTCAATTTAAGTTTTAAAGCTTGGAACTAAGCGTTCCAAATCATTCCAAAAATCTCACCGGACCCGAACCAATTACTCTGGCAAGTCGAATAAAAACTGTAGAGCATAATTTGAGCAGTAAATGGGGAAATGAGGTTGTAATACTCAAAACGACCGACCGGATCATTAAATTCTCCTCTCTTAAAAAAACGTTCATCCTCAAATTGGTGTAGAATTGTACCTAGAGTCCCAAATAGGTGTGGATATTTGATCTGCATCTCCCGCTCAGTTTCCCACGTAGCTTCTCCGACTGGTTGGCCTCTCCACTGCACTTTCACTTAAGTTATGTTCTTTGATCTCAACTTTCGAACCTGTCGGTCTAAAATGGCCACTGGCTCCACATCATAAGTCAGATTACCATCCAACTGCACTGTGCTGAAATCCAAAATATGAAACAGATCTCCGAGATACTTCCGTAGCATAAATACATTAAACACTGGATGAGCACTCGATAGATTAGGAGGCAATGCCAGCTCATAAGCCACATCTCCAATCTTCTTAAGTACTTCAAAATGCCCAATATACCGAGATCTCAACTTGCCCTTCTTTCCGAATCTCAACACACTTTTCATTGGTAAAATCTTGAGCAGAATCTTCTCTCCAACCATGTAAGAAACATTACAGACCTTCCCGTTGGCATAACTCTTCTGTCTAGACTGCGCCATGCGAAGCTTTTCCTGAATCACTTTAACCTTCTCTAAAGCATCCTGAACCAAGTTAGTACCCAATAGCCTAGCCTCTCCCGGCTCAAACCAACCAATCGGAGACCGACACCATCTCCCATATAAAGCCTCATACGGATCCATCAGAATACTCCGCCGGTAGCTGTTATTGTAAGCAAACTCCGCGAGTGGTAGAAATTTATCCCAAGAACCTCCAAAATAAATGACACAAAAGTGTAGCATATCCTCCAATATATGAATAGTGCGCTCGGACTGTCCATCCGTCTGAGTGTGAAATGCTGTATTCAACTGAACCTGTGTGCCCAATTCTCGCTGCACTTCTCTCTAGAACTGTGATGTAAACTGCGTGCCCCGATCTGAAATGATGGATATTGGCACTCCGTGCAGGCGAACAATCTCGCGGATATAAATTCCAGCCAACCGCTCCGAAGAATAATTAGTACCAACTGGAATAAAATGCGCGGATTTGGTCAACCGATCCACAATCACCCAAACAACATCAAACTTCCTCAAGGTCCTGGAAGCCCAACTACGAAATCCATGGTAATACACTCCCATTTCCACTCTGGAATTTCAAGTCTCTGAAGTAATGCTCCCGGTCTTTGATGCTCATACTTTACTTGTTGACAATTTAAACATCGAGTTACAAACCCAACTATATCTTTCTCCATTCGCCTCCACCAATAGTGCTGCCTCAAATCCTGATACATCTTCGCGGCACCTGGATGAATGGAGTACCGCGAACTGTGAGCTTCCTGTAGAATCAACTCATGCAACCCACCTATATTAGGCACACATAGCCTGCCCTGCATCCGTAATACACTGTCATCCCTAATGGTGACTTCCTTGGCATCATCGTGCTGGACCGTGTCCTTAAGGACAAGCAGATGAGGGTTATCATACTGACGTTCTCTGATACGATTATAAAGAGAAGACTAGGAAACCACACAAGCCAAACCTCGACTAGGCTCGTAAATATCCAATCTGACAAACTGGTTGGCCAAGGCTTGAACATCCAAGGCTAAAGGCCTCTCTGTTACCGGTAAGTATGCTAAGCTGCCCAAACTCTCTGCCTTACGACTCAAGGTATCGGCCACCACATTGGCCTTTTCGGGATGATAGAGAATGGTGATATCATAATCTTTAAGCAAATCCAAGCACCTTCGTTGTAGCAAATTAAGATCCTTATGTTTAAACAGATGCTGTAAACTCCGGTGATCGGTATAAACCTCACAATGGACACCGTACAAATAATGTCACCAAATCTTCAAGGCATGAATAATAGCTGCTAACTCAAGGTCATGGACCGGATAATTCTTCTCATGTACCTTTAACTGTTTGGACGCATAGGAAATTACCCTACCGTCTTGCATTAGCACCGCGCCGAGAACAATACGCGATGCGTCACAATACACAGTATATGACTCTGAACCTACAGGCAACACCAATACGGGGGCTGTAGTCATAGCTATCTTGAGCTTCTGAAAGCTCTCTTCACATTCTTCTGACCATTAGAACGAAGCAACTTTCTGGGTCAATTTAGTCATAGGCGATGCAATAGACGAGAAACCCTCAACAAAGCGACGATAATAATCGGCCAAGCCGAGAAAAATACGAATCTCAGTAGCTGAAGATGGCCTGGGCCAACTCTGAACTGCCTCTATCTTTTTCGGATATACCTTAATTCCTTCGTTGGACACTATGTGTCCCAAGAATGCCACTGAACTAAGCCAGAACTCACACTTAGAGAATTTGGCATAAAGTTTCTCTTCTCTCAACATCTACAATAAAATACCCAGGTGTTGTACATGCTTCTCCTGGCTACGTGAGTACACCAGGGTATCATCAATAAATACCACGACAAATGAGTCAAGATACGGCTGGAATACACTATTCATCAAGTGCATAAATGTTGCTGGGGCGTTAGTCAGCACGAGTCCTGAATGCCGTCTTTAGAATATTCGAATCCCGAATTTTCAACTGGTGATACCCCAATCTCAAATCAATTTTGTCGCTCCCTGAAGTTGGTCAAATAAGTTATCAATACGCAGTGTCGCACCCCTTCTTTCTCGCAAAATTGGGCTTCGACGTCGAGACAACTCTTTTAAAAGGAAGGAAAGGTTATTAAAAGAGAGTCGGCACCTAATGGATTAAGGTGTGTTAGGGCACCTATTGCAAATGACTCGGGTTTACTAGTTTGCGTCACCAAAGATCGGGTAAGGGGTCAAATTACCTCGAGGAGAAGGTGTTAGGCACTCCTCCTCGAGGTCTACAACGGTGGGTCCCGGTCGAACTTAAATCATGTGAATTAGTCTAAGAAAGAAGAGAAAGAAAGAATTATTTTAATAGGAGTGGGGGGGGGGGGGGCCCAAAGT